TGTAAAAATTTTGAGATTTTCTATGTGAGATTTATAAAGGACTAAGAAGAAACGTGATGCCAATTGAGAACCTGGAATTGAATTGGATTGTTGTATGGCTTTGCACACTTGGTGCCAAAAATTATGGTTGGGGGTTTAAGAGAATTTGTGAGCTGACATTTATTGATAGTTTGTATTGATGCCATGGTTTTGAGGATTAACAGTTCATCATATTTATTAAGTGGTGATAAATAATAGTTATTACATTGGAAGAGTAATGTGCATGTTGTCCAATGGTGGTAAATTCTGAGATAAGTATGAAAAATATATAACAAGTCGAACCAACTCTCAATTTATTAGCAGTAATTACCAGAAGGAAAAGAATGAAAAATGCAGAAAAATCATTTATGTTGGAAAATTGGAAAATCCTTATAAGATTTTTATATGTTGTCCTTAACCACAAATACATCACCTTTAGGCAAAATGTAAGAAAGACAAATATAAGAATTTGAAATTTTGGAAGATAACTTTATTCTTTGAAGGTGACTAGTCTTTACATTGACTACCTTAAGGCTTAAGGTATGGCCTGGCCGCCTGATGTTTATTTTTTAAAAAAGAAAACAAGAAAATGCAAAATAACTCAATCTATCTTTTAGTAGCTTCATTTTTGCATCGTGAATTATTGCTCCAAGTATATTTTTTTTACGGTTGTTCTTGTGTTAATCAGACTAATTAACAGAATATATATACTTTTATTGGAATATGTTATTGTTTAAAAAGTAACATACAAGGTCCAGTTCATCTTTGTCGCGCAGCCTGTCCTCCTTCAGCTACTGAGCCAATTCGTGTTGCACCTGGACCAGCTACCGGTTTTCCTCATACAAGGTCCAGTTCACCTTCTCGACCTCGGAGATAGGTCGACCGGAGATGGCCAAGGTTTCATTGAGCAGCGGCACGACAGACACAAGAGCCAGAATATGGAACCAAAGTAAGTGGTTAGAACGAGATAGGAGTTTGGATCCGGACTTCGATTCTTAAAGGAGGTCGAAAATAAAAAAGTATATATGCGCCATGGCTTACGCAGCATACTCGTACTAGGCCTTGCGATCAGAGCCCCAGTGGGTCGTATCAGCGGCAGGCAGAGCCTGCAAAAGGTAAGAGGTAATCTGTCCCGTGGCTGCTGATGTTAATGAGTGAAGAGGGGTGGACTCCTTGTCTTTTCCCTCAGTACGAGACCTCTTGCTTGCATCGGTCGGGGGGAGGAGGGGAGGGAAGAGAGCCATGGCGTTTCTGGCCAACGAGGGAGCCAGTGTGTTTGTCGCTAGGCCGATCGGTGTGCTTGTCGACCTAGCGATTGGCCGACTTAGAGAGTGGTGAGGTCATGGTTTCCTTTGCCAAAGTGGTCTTACCGACCTCCGCGGTTTTGCATTTTAGAGGGCTAGTTTTCGAGGTCAGATCGAACACTTTACCTGTTAAAGAAGCTCCCTTGTTGATCGAGACAGTCTTTCTGAAACGCATAAAGCTCTCTGCAAAGTTTTGAGATAAAAATTTAGTCACAATATAACATAATAATCCATCACAGAGTCAATAGGTCGAGCTTACCAAGCTCGTCACCCTATTGGATTTGTAGGGCTCAGAGTTTATGCGCAGTCGGTGGAGACTAAGGTCGAAAAGTGAGGAGTTCGCAGAAGAACAAGATTCTCCTGTTGGGAAGAAAGGTCTCAAATGCGACCTTGTTCGCATTCCAAGAAATGATGCATCGGTCGAATAAAAGGTCTTGAGGAGTTTTGGACTCAGAAGGAAGAGCCTCAAGCCAAGGGGTCAAGTCCTATGGGAAAGGGGTATCAGGCCAAACAAAAATAAATTCCGCGTTCACTTGTAGACGTTGGAAGAGATATCGGACAAGAAATGGGCTTTATTACGACTTTGAAGGTAGAGCCCTCCCTTTTGGCCCTTATCTATGAATGAATAAAAGAAAAAATCTAGGTCGAATCGACCTAAACGAACAAAGGTCGAATTGACCTAAACGAACAAAAGAAAGAATAATAAAAGTGGTTAATTGACAGATAATGTTGGTAGGAAACTGGTTAAGGGGGGCTGAATATGGCACAAAGGTCGAGAAGGGTTGGACAGATGGAAAAACAGAGGCCTAGTTTGATGTGGCTTTGAGAAAAGGTGTAAAATCCCTTAGATGGTTGGTCGTATGTATCAGAGGCCCCTGGGAAAATGAAAGTCCAGCCGGCAAGATGACCGACAATATCAGGGTATTCATAAACCCACCTGGTACAACCAAGTGAGTACGAGTTGGATCGACCTGCGAGGGAGAAGTAGGTGGAGAAAGTTGGCTGCTGGAAGAAGGGCTCGTCTGGGGAGCTGGCGTTGAGTTTGAGAGGGGAGGAGTAAACGATAAAGGATTAGGTTGAGGACCTCGTCCTCATCATCCTCGTCAGGTTCGTCGGCCAGTTGGAGAGGTTGATGAAGGCGTTGGGCAGGAGGGGACTGGTTAGACGAGGTCGACGGAGGCGAAACGGGAATGACAAAAAGGGGAATTGGTTGGAGAATTTCTTCAATGGAGGGGGTTGGAAATGCAGAAAAATCAGGAGGAGGAGTCGAGGAGAAAGATGGAGGGGTCATGTCTTTGCTGGAAAAGCGATCGGCTTTACTAGAAGTACCGGAATCTGAAAGAAGAAACAATCAAAAAGGAAATTTTTTAGAGTTTTTGCGAAGAATGGGAAGAGGAGGAGGAGGTCGTGGTCGGAGAATTCGAGGAAGAAAGAACGAGAAAACAAAATTAAAAAATCAAAATTAGAGGTGCAGAACTGTAAAACCAATATGCTTACTCATTTTCGGGGATTGGACTAGTTGCTTGAAGAGCTTGAAAGATTTGGATGGCGTTGCAGAAAGCTTGATTGCAGAGAGAAAGAGCGTATATTGCTAAGGGAGATTTTCATAAAGGTGAAAAAACTAGAAAAAATCGGTCTTAGGGCTTTTTTAAGGTGAGAGGGGCATGGGTCGATGGACCCTAACCGTTGGATCGTGACCGATATCAACGACCATGATCTGGCAGGTGAGTTGGAAATTAAAGTCGGTTCAAGCTGGAACTTCAGATGAAGATTGGAGCCAATGGCGGAAATCGCAGGAGGACAAAGTTGAAGGGGAAGATCTCGAGAGTCGTTAGATCAAGGCTGATATTAACATCTGAGATGAAATAGATCAGTTGAAAGGACAATGATATTTAAACCGTCAGATTAGAGACAAATCCAATGAGCGGCATTAATGGAGCATCTAATGGGTACGGTGTACGAGGCCAACGCGATTTACGACAGATTGTCGTCGATGGGACGTTGTGACTGGTTGGACCTAACAAGATGGCAGAAGTTTGAATTTTGAAAATTTGAATTGAAGGTCGCAAGGGAGATCGAAAATTGTGTTGCAGAATTGAAGAAAAATGAACAGGTCGAAAAGCAAAAGGCTGGAATTCACCAACCAAAATCAGGAATAAATCTACTCTTAGATCGAGTTATCCTCACTCGACCAGAGTGGGGGAGACATACCATACCCAGAAGAGCAAACCCAATAAACCGGTCAACTAGGCCAAACAAACTAGGTGGTCGAACAGATTCACAGAGCGTCGAGCGGAGGTCAAAAGCCAGTATAACACAAGGAATCTTCAGGTCGAAGAAGACGTGAGGGGTTCAAAGGACCCGTAACAGATCGAGCCAAGGCCCTCGAATGGCCTGTTGGAAAACTCAACCTATAAGTATGGTTGGTCAGGTGATTGACCAGAAGGATTTCATTTAGGCTCGAAACTGATAGCATTCTACCTCAACAGAGCTCGAGCTAGTCGCACGATTAGACAGTCTAATACGAAAGACTAAGGGATAAGAAATAATCTTACTAAGATGAGGACCGCACGTGCATAGGACGACGTGGCCTAACAGAAATGGACAGTACAGGCAGATCGGACAGTTCGGGCAGCCTACTCGGCCAGTCTTTGGAAACAAGGTATCACCTCCCTATATAAGGGAGTGAAGAATGCTCATTATCACATTACATTCTCTATTATTCTACATACATATATCACTTCATCTTTTTTCCAATGCTGATTTAAGCATCAAATGCTCTTCACCAGAAAAATCCTCTTGCGTGAAAATTTTTGCAGGTCTCAAAGTGTTCAATCGGCGAGAAGCTCGAGTCAGGCCGATTTCTAGCCAATCGAAGGTGTTATGTGTACTAGTATACAAACATCATATTTGTAATCTTAGATATTTACTTCCCATAAATTTCCCATTTGTCGCTCAATGATGGAACTTTACTGGGAAATGCTCACCTACTCACGGTGGGCATATTAACATGTGCCCACCGTGGGTAGGTGAGCATTTCTCGAACTTTACTTAGTTCTTTTTTACTGATCGTCGAATCAAACGATTTTAAACTTATAAATAGTAAAATTTATATATTGAATAGTTCAGACCTAAAAAAATAAATTGAAAAATATAAAAATATTTAATAAACTTTATATTATTATATATTACGTTGGATAGAATTAGCATCTTACATTAAATAATTTAACAATATTTAAATAATAAAATATTAATTTATAGTATACACGTATCAACGCTAGTTTTCTTAAAAAAGTCCGTATGTATCCCATTTCTCATTAAGTGATCATTTGTGAACTAGAGAAGAAAAGAAAAAAACAAACACGAAACGGGAAAAATGGTAATTACTATAAGTTTCAAGTCACGTGCTCTCTTTTGTTTCTTCTCCTTTATAAAAATCAGCCACTCTTTCTCCTCAACAAAATTCTTCCTCATGCGCCCCTATCAATTTCTACTCGCATACATATAAATTCTCTCTCACACACAGACACCACTCACGCACACTTTCTTTTTCCCGAAGTCATCTTCTAGCAGGCGGATCCTCCAAAAGCCCTTTGGTGAAACAATTTCTTGGTCTTTATCGTCGCTTCGCTCAGGTGAGTAGCTTCACGATATTCGAGTCAACTCTAGGGCTGTTTGATTTGTTGAATTCTGTTCATCTGCTGCTCGTATAGTCGTATTGTGATTTTTCTCGTGCGTTTTTTAACGCATTCGATTTGATTGATTCGTATTTTGCACCGGAAAATCCGAACCTTGAACTGTTCGATTTTCTTGGTGGCCGATTTAATTCAATTGATTTGTGCAGCAATAGTTATGAACCATGTGTTGCGTTTGGTTTTGGGGATTTTGTTTGATCATAAAGTTCATATCTTTTTTCTCCTCCTCACACCTCCCACCCCCAAATTTTTTGTAGTGAATTTGACTTATCTCGTGCTAATTTATCCTGGTATCTTTTAAGTTACGGTGATAATGAGGTGTTGCAGCTCATTGGAGCATCTTGTGCTGCTGATTCTTGATTTCATGCAGTTAACTTTACTTTCCTCTTTTTATTTTCTTTTTAGCATCTGTATCATTCCTTTAATTGGAGGTTAATATGCTCCATATACTCGATTTATGATTTATGTCTTGCTTTATTGTGTCTGAATTTCAACTTTATAATACTGGAGTTGGTTTTCTGTTATCTAGGGTGTTGTCTCAGGTACATTCACACATTTTATCTCAAAGAGGGCTTTATTGTTACAAAGTAAGATTTTGGAGGTCAAGGTCTCATGAGAATTGTTAGGGGAATGCAGAAAACGATTCTCAAGGATCAGAGCTTGTTGAGCTGGAATAACAAATCACTCACACGTGGAATTGGCGTTACTGCTCCCAAGGCCAGAACACGCGACAAATCAAAATCTACATCTTTATATCTCTAACTTCTTATTTTTAGTTGGGGGTGAAAAATAATTAAAATAAGAAGATAAAAAACTCTTTGCTTGGAGTTTAAAGAAGAAAAATAATGACGCGGATTTATGTGCAGCGAGGCTCTTCTGGTTCGGCATCAGCATCAAACCAAAATAGATCATCATCATCATCATCATCATCATCTTCTTCTTCTTCTTCTTCTTCTTCTTCTTCTTCTTCTTTTTCGTCTTCTTCTTCCTCTTTTTCTGGAACTGGACAAGTCGTTCAAGCTGTAAAAGATGAGAATTTGGCAGCACCAATTCAAGAGCAGACTGTTGCGGATGAATTAGCCGAGAAATGTACTCTATCAGTCGACGAAAGCGAGGATTTTTCTTCGGGAACTTTGAACGTCGATCATAGTCAAGCTGAAAAATCCGAGAATGATAAGAAGGAACGTGATGATGAAGCCATAGGTCCCGAAAATTCGGTAAAAGGGTTTGGGGAATTGGAGACACTGGAAGAAGAAAATGATATTGTGGGCCCCACAAGTTTTTTCCACACAGTAACTGGCAGTACTTATCCGCCACCTCCTCCTATTCCGCCTCCTAAGCCATTGAGTACGAATTCTAGAAGATATGTGCCTTCTGAGTCAAATGCAGCGAGGATAGGGTCGTCTAGGAGAACTTTCGGCTGGCCTGGTGTGTCAAGCAGGTCATCTCCAACTGGGTCTCGCCCATCTTCACCTAGGTCCCATTGTGAAGGTGAAGGATATAACAGTGCTGATGAGCAGGGTCCATGCTTTACCTCATCCTATGATGATTCAGTTAGTTTCTAACTTTCTATTCGTCTTTAGCTTGGATAATTTAGGGCTCGCTTGTTTACAAAATAATTCGTCCAAAATGAGTTATTTTGGTTAGTCATAGTTAATTTTGAAAAATGTGGTATGATTAGTTATTAGTGGAATTTTAAGAATGTATTAAAATAATATTTAAAGTAGAATGATTAAAATTGATTTGATGTAAAAGTAGAATGTAAATAATTGGAAATGATTGGAAAATGATAGGTAGTTAAATTATGTGAGTGGATGAATAGTGAATTAAAGTTGATGTGATGTGTAAGAATGATTGGTTTGTATTATTTAATTATATGAATAATATTAAAGATGGTGGGGTTGAGTTAAAGTTGAGTTAGATTTTGAGTATGAATTGAATGTGAGTGAAATAATATATAAACAAGCATGCCCTTATGTTTTTATGTGATAGCCAAGGTATCTATCAGTTTTCTGTTACTGATTTACTTCTTTGTTTCCTCAAAAACTTCTGTTCAATCGAGTTTATGGTTTACAATATATTTTGTGCATGACAATATCGATGCTGTTAGTTTGCTGATTTTTAAAATCGCCCGAATGTACAAGTTTTGTGCTGTTGAATTTGGTTTGGAGTACTAGGCACTGTCACATGCTTGAGATTATCAGTGTTATCTGTTGCAGGAAAGGGAACATCAGTTTGTGATTGATTTGAGGCGTGTTAAAGGCTTGGAAGTGAGAAAAATGCTTGAGGATGGGAACTGCCTTTTCCGTGCTGTTGCGGATCAAGTATATGGTGACTCTGAGCTATATGATTTGGTTAGGCAGATGTGTATTGACTATATGGTACGGGGAGTTGCTTTCTTATCTTCATTAGGACCCCTTCACCTTCACTTTTGTGTGTTGTATGCTAGTATAATTTTCAAGTTTTCACAAGTCACATTGAGTTACGATCATTATTGCTGGCTGCACGTAGTGGGATCAATGCTTGTTTTGTTTTCTAACTTTCATTAATCATTAGTAACATGCTCATATGTTCACGCAGAGGATAAACATTATTATAATTGAACGCGACATGTATATTTTTTGTTCATGCAGGAGAGAGAAAGAGATCATTTTACACAGTTTATAACAGAAGGATTTACTTCCTATTGTAAGAGGAAGAGAAGGGATAAGGTACATGATATTCTGTTCTTATAAGTGAATATTATGTCCTGTGATTTTATGAAGAGTTTCAATGTTTATCTCTTGTTAGTTGAGAAGATATTGTAAATAGCAATTATCGAAAGATTTTTTTGGTGTTCTTTCAAAGATTAATTGTCTCAGAAGAAGTTTGTCTTGTGTTCTGCCACATAATCTCTCGATGCATCCAAATTAAAAGTTTATCAATTAGCATTCTGTGTGAGCCCCTACATTCATAAAATTGCTGCAATATTAGTATTAATATATTATTGGTTGGGGGAAACTGTGTAAGTGTCGTCTTGATTGTTTGATATGGTGAATAATTTTTCAGTAACTGGAGGATGATTGAAGTTAGTCTTGAGAACAAGTGAGGATGAAATAATATATCATTTTAGTCAAAGTTCCCATACTCTTGAATTTTTTTCATTGTGTTCTCATGTGTCGAGTTTTTGCTTGAAGTTAGCTATAATTGAAGTATCTATGCATTTAAAGTTTATAGTGGGACTTGGGGGAATAATGGATGTCTCTCGAGAAGGAAATTGTTATTATATTTTTTTATGTCTGTTTCAATGTTCGGAATGATGAAGAGCATGATATAGGTATTTCAACAGTTCTTTTGTCGGTAATTCATAAATCATAAAGTGGGTATTTTAAGTCGCATATAATTAGAATAGGACTGATAAGATTGCAAGTTATTGATTAAATTTTGCATGATTTTGGGGTCTTGATACCAATTGAATGGTTGGTTATCCATGCTACTAGTGCTCTATTGTTGATGAACTCAGTGTTAAAAGCATTCTTGTCTTCCCTTGATAGGTGTCTTTGTGATTCTCCTACAATCTTTACTCTTGGATATCTAATTTATGCTGAATTTCATGGTCTTAATTTTTTTATAATTTGTTTTCTTTTTCTGGTTTCCAGGTTTATGGAAATAATATTGAAATCCAGGCTCTATCAGAAATGTACAATCGTCCTATTCACATATATTCTTACAGCACAGGTGTTTTTAACTTCTAATACAATCATGCTTTGTGCTTCTGCTTTATTTTCTGGTTATTCTGCTGGACGCTAGTTAACACGAACAATTTTATGTTCATAGAGCCTATCAACATATTCCATGGAAGCTATAATACAGATACGCCCCCAATACGACTCAGCTATCACCATGGAAATCACTATAACTCTCTTGTGGATCCACGCAGAATGACCATTGGAGCTGGCCTTGGTTTTAGCTCTCTTCAAGGGGTAATTTTGAGTTACAAAATATTAATAGTAATAATAATAAATCCATTTTTGATTTAAAGATTATAAATAGTGACTTCATAAATAGCATTGAATTTTAATTTCGTTTTGTTAACTGGGTTCGATTTGTAATTGAGCTATACTAAGTGTAATATACATTCAGTTTGGCTTTAATTTCTGATATGTATATGTATCCCTCAATTATGGTGTAATAATAATAAATCCATTTTTCATTTAAAAATTATAAATAGTGACTTCATAAATAGCATTGAATTTTAATTTCGTTTTGTTAACTGGGTTCGATTTGTAAATTAGCTATATTAAGTGTAATAATATATGTAGTTTGGCTTTAATTTCTGATATTATGTATATTTATCCCTCAATTATGGTGTTTTTGACAGAGGAATGTTGATAAGGATCAGGTCAAAGCAGCTATTAAAGCTCAACAAGATCAGCAAATTGACAATGTAAGTATTTAGTGGCCTTGAATAAAGAATAACATGCATTTTATATGTGTTCCGATAATTAAATAAAAAAAATTGTTCGTTATGTAAGGCACTTCTTGCTGAGGGACGATTCTATTCTGATCTTGAGCTGACCGAGAAGGAAATTGAGAGAATGGTGATGGAAGCTTCTAGAAACGAGTATCTTGCTGACGACAAGTTCAAGCAGCAGATCAGTCACAGGGAGTCATCCACTTCCAGAGCCGAACCATCATCTTCTGCAGCCAGTGAGTTTCTTATGTTCAAGTGCATTTTCTGTTTTCCATTATAAAATGTGCATGCTTTCTGCATATTATGTGTGGATGGATATCTGCAGAATCAGATCTGAGATTTTAGATTGACTTCAAACAAGGGGCATGATGAGAAAAACTATCCTTGAAGTTTTGCTAAATAACAAAAGAATTTGACGACTACAGAAATTACAAAGACCACCCTTGAGATTCGATCACTCTTACTTCCGCCACTTGATTTTTTTTTTTATTACATTCTTCAGCTTTCCTGATTATTATTACTCCACATTCATATCCTCAGTTTTTAAGATATTAGGAACAGCCACATATAAAGATAATGGCTATCTGCAGTATTTTGGGAAGTTTGGGGTTATTGTTTATGAATTTAACTAGTTTTTAATTGATGTTTTTTTTAACTATAGTTAATTTTGAAAAAAGTTGGTATGGTCAGTTGGTAGTGGATATATTAAAATAATATTTAAAATAAAATAATTAAAATTGATATGATGAAAAGTACGTGAAAAATGATTGAAAGTGATGGTTAGTTAAAATTATGTGAGTGGATGAATAGTGAATTAAAATTGATGTGATGTGTAAGAATGATTGGTTGAATGATTGTTGATATTATTTAATTATATTAATAATATTGGATATAGTGGAGTGGGTTAAAGTTGAGTTAAATTTGAGTTTTGATTGGTTTTTTTTAAGTGGAATAATAAACAATCACCCCAAGCCACGAGTTTTATTTTTTCGTTTACATATTTTTCTCCTTGTCTTTTCTTTTGAGTAACTTTGGCAATAACTTAGTTTTTTTTTTCCCTTTCGGTTTGCAATGGTCCACAAAATTGGAAACCTGGTTTATTGCTTCGTTAAAAAATTTCCAGATTTAAATTAAATACGAACACTACAGGCCTAATAGTAGTTAAAACCTCAGTGTAGTTGTGCAACTAATATTATCTTGCATGAGAAGCAAGAATATATGTAATGTTATTAAAGTTTTACTTAATTATCAGGACCGGGAAGTTATGCCAGGCTGGAAGGCGGGCGTGAATCCAGCTCACCAGGTTCGGTTTTGAACAGCAGCATGCAGATTATGCTGTCTATGGGATTTAGCTATTTGCAGGTGGTCGAGGCTTACAGCATTTTTGGGGATGATGTTGATTCCATGGTCTGTTATCTTTTAGAAATGAGCAGTAACGGCAGGCGTAAAGGCAAGGCTACAGAATAAGTGAAAAAAAATAAAAATAAAAATAAAAATGAGAGCTCATGTGGTTATTTTTCCCCTTTTTTTCTTTTTTTATGGAGAGCTATGTAGAACTTCTTCTGAGATGTTGCTGCTATCTTTAGCTGATACTAAGTACTCCAATAAGATGGGCACTTTTCAGTTTACATAATGATTAATGATATGCGTGTTGTTTTCGTCCTTGATTGGTATTCATGAAACATTGCTTAAGCAGAAACCGGTTAGTTACATATTCTATTGAGCCACTTTATTTCGATGACATTAAAAGCTGCAACGCTATGAAAGCCATCAGTGCTACTACCGTGTGCCTTGGCACACCTAGCAAGGTGTGCCAGGGCAATTTAAAATGAACATATTATGTTACAAAATGAACATGTGCAAACATGATTTACACATGTTTATTTTGTAACATGAACATAAAATGAACATGTTATGTTACAAAATGAACATGTGCAAACATGATTTACACATGTTTATTTTGTAACATAATATGTTCATTTGTGGCACACCTTGCTAGATGTGTCAGGGCACACCTAAGTATTTGCGGAAAGCCATATGGTGATTCCATACACATTGCCTTAAAAGCTATCTTGCAATAAAGGCCTTACAAATTGAGCTATTCTATTTAGATAGCCTTTCAAGTGTCTGAATAGAATTTTGGGAAGGTATAAAAAGTTCAAATGGATTGGGATTAGCTATTTATGAGTCCCTCAAAGGACTTCAAAGCGATACGCCCTTCTAGGCGGGCCCGATGATCCAATGGTTCGAAATTACATTGTTTCGCATGCAAGTTATAAGTCATGACTAGGCGGGCCCGATGATCCAATGGTTCAAAATTACATCGTTTCGCATGCAAGTTATAAGTCATGACTTCTAAACGTGACTCGCATTCCTTCATTCCTAAAGCAGAACTATTTTTGAGACGATGTTCTCCCCTTATTTTGTCAAATTTTCTCTCTCCTCATTTAATACTTGGCCGAAAAGATTCTTATGAGACGATGTTCTCCCCTTATTGTGTCAAATTTTCTCTCTCCTCATTTAATACTTGGCCGAAAAGATTCTTATTCGTTACGACTAACGAAACGACGCCCATACCCATCATTACCTTTTTGGAAATTAATTGCTATTTAATATAATCGAACGTTACATTTGTTCCATATAATTTTTGATCGACATACATCTTTCGAGCTCATCTCGATCTGGAGATCTGATGACCTAGCAAACTTGGCCCCCTTTGTTATACGTGATTTAATACCGTTAATTTTTATCTGGTTTATATTTCATTTTGGGCGCAATCCAACATATATGCGGCCCATACGAGGATTATGTGTCGACCTATTATCAGGCATCCAGTGACGATCTGCCGAAAGACCACCGAGATGGATTTGCTCATTTGGTGTGAAAAAGGAATTGAAAAAGCAACCGCCCAATCGATCATCAAAAGCATCACTGCTACATGTCCTCTTGCATGCAACCTTCCCAGACACTTGTCTGTAAAATACGCACTCATTGCATTTACTTTTATAAATTGCATAAATAAATTGAATTGTACCTAGCGAGACGACGTTCAATTCAATACTCACAAAAACACACTCAAAGAGCAATAAATACTATATCGCTTTTACGTTCTTGAATCCATAATTCATAAAGATTTACGTTTAGTAACTCTTTGTTATCAATAAATATGTAAGTTAAATAGTTTGTATTTTATCATTTTGTTTTACTCACGATAAAATTTATAAAATGTAATAATGATTATTATCTATCTTATGATTTTAATTATTACACATATTTAAGATATAAAATTTTATTTACATATATATGCATGTATAAATGTGTACATAATGGAACACAAGTTGATTTTAGTCCTGATTGGGAAATAAATAATAAATAATTAAAATTATGCTTCAAATCTACCCAATCTGACAATTCAGCACGCGTGTGCATCCGCATCGAAAATAGCAAAGTGCAGATAAATTATTGAAAGTCAGTTTAGTGCAGTTAATTTTCACTTCGACTGCTTTGTATTTATCCTGGATTTCTCTCTCTGCACACAGTACTTTGGTGTGTGAGAGAGAGAAGCAAAGTGTGTGAAACGATGTCGCATAACGGGAAATTGATGCCCAATCTGGATGAGAAGACGACCAAGGTGCTCAATCTGACAGTGCTCCAGCGAATAGATCCGCTGGTTGAGGAAATTCTCATCACCGCCGCTCACGTTACCTTCTACGAATTCAACATCGACAACAGCCAATGGGTATGCTGATCATAGATTGCCGAGCATATGCATCGATATATGTATTGGTTAAGCTCATTTTTTCTCCATCTTTCCTTGATTAATGCTAATGTTTTTTTGCAGAGCCGAAAAGATGTCGAAGGTTCCCTTTTTGTTGTGAAGAGGTGAGGGCTTTATGGGGTACTGAGTTTTTAGGGATTCATGCTTGGATTTTTTGTCGCGAAAGTTTATGGGTATTATTATTCCTTTTATGGTATTATTTTATTTTGTTTTGAATTTTTTTATCTTCGTTCAGGAGTACACAGCCGCGTTTCCAATTTATAGTAATGAATCGTCGGAACACTGGTTAGTCACTCCATTACAATAGCATTTTGTTCGAATTGTATTTGAATGTGGTTAGCATGTTCCGGAAACGGTTCCTTACTGTGCCTACCGATCACGGAGAAAAAATAATTCTTGTTCTTTGATGATGTTAACTTATTACCAAGTTAAGAGATTTCATCATTTAGCAAATGAGATGTAAATTATGACTTCTCTTTGAAGGATCTTACAAGTTAAAAGTATGGGTTGGTATCTGGCATCTAGATTTGACATGGCTGGTTAATATCTGTTTTATCCTTTGAACCATATTGCAAGTCGTAGATTAGTATATTTTTTTTTTCAATTGAAAATCTCATTTTTAAGGAATTTGAAATTTGTTCCTTGAATGAATATACAATGAATGAAACTTTAGCATGAATTTTTATGAAGCTCTCCTAGCTCCAAAAGAAGGCTGGATAGCCACTTTGTCGAGCTCAGTCTAAACCCTAACTTCAGCGAATCATACTTAAAAGCAGCTGACTTTGGTGAAATGGATGTATATGTCCACAGTGAATGGCCACACCTTAAATTGGGGGACTAGTAGATTTTGAGACACATCTCTGGAGCAATTGCCTTTATAATAGGTTACGAGAACAGAGATTCTGGGAAACAAGTAAAAAAACACCTTCAATTCTCACTTGTAAATTTTAGCTAAGATTTTATTAATGTTAATACATTTGGGTCTGGGCTGTTCAGAATCTTGCGAGAAGAAAAAGAAATGAAATTGAACTTTTGTGGATAGCACTCAGAATTGTCACAATATGTTACTGAAGATGCACTATAATCTATGTATGTTATGAGGTCTTGTTTATGTTGGCAGATAATCTGGTGGAGAATCTCTTGGGAGATTTTGAGTATGAAGTGCAGGTTCCGTATCTATTATATCGAAATGCTTCCCAAGAGGTAAATGGTATATGGTTCTATAATGCACGAGAGTGTGAAGAAGTTGCAAACTTATTTAGCAGGTTGGTTAATATTTATTGCTCCCCTTTTTTTTTTTCCTTATCACGATGTGCTTTCTGTGGAGGTAACGTTGGTGTGAAAACGACACACGAATAAAAGTTTGCTTGGAGATCTACGATAATTGTGTTGTGATTTGATTCTTCGTGAACAGTTGGAATGGTAGAAGATCTCTTTAATGAAATACAATAAGTGCTAACTGGTCGATATTTGGTTTTCTGTTCTGCCTTTTCTTGTAATCTTTCAAAAGCTTGCCATTTTATTTTGTATGTTAATTTTTAAATTTTTTCAAGGTACTTTCTCATTGCAAATTTGTATGTTATACTTGTGGCATGTCATTGATGTTTTGCTTTCTTTATTTCAACCTTCGTTTCATCGCACTACTTTATTTTTTTTTTAGGATACTCAATGCATATTCCAAGGTGCCTACAAAGTCTAAAGTGTCTCCTACAAAAAGGTAAACTTTGCAGTTTCTGTTTAAATCTAGGAATGCTGGTCTGTATTTTCACGGAGTTGGTTTAGTGAGTTTGTAGTATGACTGGTGGCCACGTAATACTTAACCACACTGATTTCTGATAAAAATTCTAGTTGCAATTTGTTTTAGTAGTCAGTAGCTATGTAGTCCTGACCTCCACAAGTTCCTTGGAGTTATATTAAGAAGTTATCTACCCGGCGGAAAAATATTTTCACTTCGGGGTTTGAAACAATAAAAACGGGCTTTTCACTGAGTTGTTTGCCCAGTGCGTTTATTACTCGTTGCAGCCTGTATTTCAAGTTGGTTAATGTTAAATGGTTAATAGAATCATTGAACTGCCCGTTAAGTCATACGCTGTAGATCCACCTGTATTGTTGGTAAAATGAGTTGTCTTATCATTATTTTTCATATTATTTTGAATTACACAGATGTTGAATGATTTGTCTCTGTTAGCCACGCATTTTTTGTAGGCAGTAAGAAGAACTTTGCATTAGAATAACCGCTCCTCTCTCTCTCTCTTCACACACACACACTTTCTAACAATTGTTTTGGCAGTGAGTTTGAAGAGCTTGAGGCAGTTCCTACATCGGCAGTAATCGACGGTCCTCTGGAGCCACCATCTTCTACCACATCCAATATCACAGATGCTCCAGATGACCCTTCTTTCATAAACTTCTTTAGTGTATGCCCTCTTACTAACTTTCAATTTCTTCTTGTTCTTAATTAATCTTTTTATACTATCAAAATCAAACTCAACTCTGCCATTGATGACTTAATATTTCATTAATATATTAACTTCCCAAGTGAGATTAGATAAGTCTGTCGTGTTCTATTAAACATCCATTTTATCTTGAGATGTTCTCCTGTCCTCTTGACATCCCTAAAACTAAACCTTAAAATTGAAAACACTTCAAAAAGAGAAAATACCAAAAAAGACAGAAAATTCCGAGAGCTAACAGCCTTTAAAAGAACCCAAAAAAACTTCAAAAAGGAAAAACTGAAAGAACTTGAATTTGAGCACACCTACTGATGAGGCATTGTCTTTAATTTTTTTTTTTCTCATCCAAATCATATTTACATGCATCGCCTTAACATTTCCAATTATTACAAAAAAAACCCAAAACTGTTTTGCAGGCCTCGATGAATATCAATGGCCCACCAAACTCGCCAATTCCAAGGCAGCCTTATCACTCCTCTGCAACTCTTGTCCCAACATCTCACCCTCATGTTGTTCCCCTGCCCGCTTTTTCAACTTCCCAAACGCGCCCTAACTTACCTTCATTGCCCGACGGCAATGAACCCAACCCTGCCACCAATCGTCCAGCCAATCTCGTAAAACCGTCAGCTTTCTTTGGTCCGCCGCCAGCTGTCTCGTCTTCGCCAGTGATCATAGCTCCTGTCTCGTCATCTGTACCTCAGATCGGGCCCCAGCTGAATCCTCCCGCGAGTCTGCACAGACCTTACGGTGCACCCTTGCTACAGCCATTCCCACCTCCGACTCCACCACCATCTCTCACTCCTCCGCCGCCAAATTACGGGCCGGAGGTTAGTAGAGAGAAAGTTGCAGAAGCACTTCAGGCGCTTGTTCAGGTAACTGTTTAAAGATTTTATTGGCACACCCTTTGAATTTTTGTTTGTTTGAGGTGATATTCGTTCGGAGAANTTAATAGATTCTTTTGTTTATGAATGAATTGATTGTGGCTGGCAGGATAATCAATTCATTGACATGGTTTATCGAGCAGTGTTGAATGCGCACCAGTCATGATGAGCGGTGGAGATTGTTGGGTTTGCTTTCGTTTGTATTTCTTAACCTGTCATTAAGGGAAAAAACTGTTGAAGTTTACCAATTACCATTGTCTTGTTATGTAATCTATAGGTCTCTCGTGCAGAAAAAGGAGAGTATGTACAGAGATTTGTTTTGTCGTTGATCTTACTTACATTTTATTACATGTTATAGTATTTGGTGTGGTCTTTCTTTGTGGAGCTGTGTGTTGTGTCAGGTTTTAGATATTTACTGGATGATGTGTTATTTGCGTTTTTTACTTCGAACTTCTAAGTGTGTATGTGCAATAGTATATTAATATTAAATTTATATCAGTCTTACACTACCGAATTTATTAATAGTATATATACTTTGCATATAGTTTAACCTTTACTTTAAACTTTGAATATTGTGACATAAACTTTATATGGATATATGATAAATACATTACAGATTATATATAGATCTAGGAAAGAAAAGATAAGCAAATTATAAACTATGAGTAAAATTTGTTGGTTAATTTATATATGTGAATGTCCTAATATAAACTATATATATTGAATAAACCAAATATATGCCATTATATAAACTTTTTAGTAGTGAATAAAAAGAGACTAGCTGAACTTCAAGGAATATCATTCAGATAAACCAAATATATACCATTATATAAACTGGTATAGATATGGGTATACCTATAATAATGCGTACACATGATGACTGCATGAACTGAATACAAACTAGGGTTTTGAGCGAAAAAATATTCGGATGCGTGTAATTCAATATTGCCTACTTACTATAGCAATAAATTGTAGCAATGTTATCTCTGAAATCTCTGTCTTCTTTCTATTAATGAATGAATAAATATGTAATACAAAAACTGCCAAACATGTTTTTATGCCATAATAAACTTTTCTTTTCGTTTGAATGGCACAAAGGCTCGTATAAATAAAATATAATTATTAAACTCGTTAATTGAGTGGAATAGAAAGTTGGAGACGTATAGGGGGTAATTTTCTCTATCTCTATCAATTATGTATTAACTAAATGTGCAATCTTCAAACTACAGTGTCCCTGTCAAAATATACAATTAAATAAATTAAGTAAGCATTATGTATAAACTAAATATGCACTATGTATGTCAGATTTGAATCAAAGTATGCAAGCGTTACGTATGTAATTATATATAAACAAAATATATTATTATGAACTAAAGGACTTCAAAATATGCAATTAATATCATCTAAGTATGCAATTATGTATGAACAAAATATGCATTATGTATTAATTAAATATACATTATGTATGAACTAAATTTGCATTATCTATTAATGATGTAGGGAAGTGTACGAGTGGGAAAGATAAACGAGATACTCTCTCGATAAAATTCACAATCTTATTTTCATTCAATCATCAACCACCTAAAACAATAGATAGGAAGTCCTTTAAATAAGGCTCCTAAACCCTATTCTTAACTTGTCCAACAAGAAAAGATTTCTTATAATAATATTTAATTTCTAACTTATTCTCCAAATTACTAATAATAATAATAATAATCTACACCATTCTCCCCCGATTCGGAAGGCTTCGCCCTCGAAGCCGATGCGCTCCCGTGGCCCGCGTGTAGTGTCGAATCCGTGGTAGGACCCCCGTCATTTTTCCCGGTCAAACACGAAGGTTGAATGTCTCCCAACGTCCACTCTAGCCGACCCACACAACATAGGATCCCTACTTCCAAACCAAATACCCCCGGGCATCACAAAACTCAAAAATTCAACACTACCCGAATGGTCAATAACTTGAAAGTACTTGTCATGACGTGTCAGAATCACCCCATGGTCATCTTCATTGCTTTTGTCAGTTCAATAGCACTTTGCTTAACCTCAGGATGTAGCATACAAATAACTACATCTACCAACTTGTGAAGTGAAAAATCCTCGACTGGGATTGGAGCAGGACCTACGTCTCTGGCATGCACACACTCTCCCCCAAAAGGTTGGTCAAAGTCTTTGTTGGTGTTGCTGTAAAGAGAATTACACTCCACGATAAAATCCTTCGGCCTCGAAGGCTCCTCATCGAAAATCGACGGACCATCGTACAATGGCTCGTCATCTGGCTCGCCGTCGAATTTGGGGATTTCCACGCGAAACGGACCCTCCCATCGATGGTCATCGCCATCTCCAAGTTGTTGGTCGTCATCTTCCTCAAAAACTGCGCCTTGGTGCCGCACATCTTGGCCGTCGTGCGCGACAATAGGCTCAGGTTTGACGTGCGGAGGTTGATAATCGTCGAAGGGATTCACCTCCGAGACTGTCTCCTCGCCGTCTTCGTCGCCGGATGGTGGTTGTGGAGATCCCTGGCGGGGCGCCCCGCCTGGACCACGGCCTCCGCGAATTCCCCCGCACACGTCCCGGTTGCCGGCGTCATGGTACGTTTGCTTATCCCGAACCATGGTACGCATAGTTAGACGTATGTCCCCGATCTCCGCGGACAAATCTGCAATCTCACGACCCATCGTCTCAAGCTAGCGGCCAAACCACTCGGTCCGGCGACTTAGGTTGTAGATGGCGGCAACACGCCTGTCGTTTGCAGCATCTTGTCATCGCGACAGCATCGTGAATCGTGCTGACTTCTGATACCAACTGATGTAGGGAAGCGTACGAGTGAGAAAGATAAACGAGATACTCTCTCGATAAAACTCGCAATCTTATTTTCATTCAATAATAATATTTAATTTCTAACTTATTATTCAAGATACTACCATTAATAATAATAATAATAATAATAATAATAATAATAATAATAATAATAATAATAATAATCTACACCAATTAACTAAACGTGCAATCTTCAAACTGAAAGTGTTGTCACCGCCGACGAATAATCGTTCAATGGCCATCAGGCGACGTTCAACGCAGACCAATATGATTTTTTCATTGTATAATTAATTTTAATGCATTAATAGCTAATGTAAATACCAGTTGATAAACATGAGTCATTGATTCGGGCTATTTACATGTTTACTACTTTTTTTGAAACATTTTGCAAAAATAAGATATTCAAAATTAAACCATACATTAACTAGTTATAAACAAAAATAATATGATTAAAAATTAATGATAAATTAAAAAAAAACCATTTTTTTTTTTTTTTGGTACAAAGAAGGAGGCCATAGGCCTAGGTGTTAGACGCGAGTTCGGCGGGGATAGGAAACCCCGATGGTATCATGCTGGAGCCATTCACCCAGAGTTGAAGGAGGAGTCGAAAGCACATGAAGGCCTATCGGATAGGAAGACGCTAAGCTCGCCAAGTAGTCGGCCGCAAAGTTAGCCTCTCTATGTACGTGTCGAAGGCAAACAGACCATGAGCCCCAAAATCCCTACCATTCCCTTGTATCATCTGTAACACACACTGGCTATCAACTTCCACAACATCTTTGCGAAATCCTTTTGTCCATGCAAGATGCAACCCCTGGAAAAGGCCCCACATTTCTGCTCCGGTTATGGTACAAAAGCCGATGTGCATAATAAACCCCATAGACCATCTACCCATCTCATCTCGAAGAAGCCCACCCGCACTGCCGAGCCCAGAGGCCTTGTCAAATGCGCCATCAGTATTGACTTTAATCCACCCGGGATCCGGCGGGGACCAATAAATTAAGCGTGTCTCGAAACGATCCATTTCAGCCCTATAAAAGTCAGTATATTTGTAAGTTTCTTTTGACAAAAAAAGAAAGAAAACTTCAAAATTATAAAAATAAAATGAGATTTGAAAGTTAATATTGTAATTTTCTCTTGATTACACAAATTAATAGCTAGGATTGGGTCATTTGAATACCTCTACTCTATATACATTCAATTTATTCTATGAATATTTATACAGATATATTCAAATTTAAATAGTTCTTTATGTTCATTTTTATATAAAAAAATCATAAAGATAAAAAAGTCATAAACATAAAAAGAAAATAGAATAAAAAACATGTGACAAAACTCATAGTATATAATTAATGTGGACCTGTTATTATATATATTTTTATTTAATTTAATGTCAAATTACATGATGTATTTATAGTGTTCTGCAGTGTTGTGTAGTGTTCCATAGAATTTCTGTAGTGTTCTGTTTTTGTTTTTTCAATTTTGTGTTTGACGCTAAAGTTTCTATCTTTTCTATACTTCCAATAGTGTTAGGTTATGTTTAGTAACATATAAGCTATCTGATATCGTATTTGATTAATTTATAATTTACTGTAATCAAGAAAGCAACTTATTTAATTAATTTATAAGTTTTTTGTAATCAGATAAGTTTAGTTGGGTAGGACAAGTTTATTTTTATTTTTAACTTGTGCTTATCTCATAAATTTCAGGGTAATTTGCACTTCTACGTTAAGGATTTTAAAATAAACGCATAAATACAAAAATAAAAACTTATTTGCAAGTATGTCTAGGTTAACATAATTATTTGGATAACTACAATATAACTGCCAAACAAAAAATTAGGAGTTACCACCCCAAGAATCCCGTAACTGACGGGATTCTTTCATTAATTAAAAAAAAAATATGAACTAAACAATCACGAGCAGCGTCGTCCATCACGAGCAACGTCGTCCCATCACGAGGAGCAAATATACAGAAAATATACAGAATATTAACAGTATATATACGAAAAATATACAATATATATACCTAGGATCATTTTCTAAGCAACGAGATGGTGGAGAACACAACATATACAGAATATGAACAGTGGTCCTTATGATTTTCAATTCAAATATTTCGTACAAAAAATTCAAACTATACACACTCTAATAGTGTTCATACAAAAAAATATAAACAGTATATATACATGCAACTACAGAAATAACAAAAAAAATATAAATATACTACATATATACAACATATATACTGTCTGGTCTGGTCCTCCTCTCAACTAAAACCTAACAACAAAATTCTCCGATCGTCCTTCGTCTCCTAAAAGCGCCTTGGACAAACTCCTCGGGCGGCCATGCTGCTGCCTTTTCTACCCTCATTGTTTTTAGTTCACGCTATGCTTGCACATAACAAATAAATGGCTGCTCCCTTTTTGTCTATGTTCACGCACTGAAACAATCATCAATTTTGTGTTTAGTAGACGCCTAGAAGCAGTCGCACGCCATACCGGAGAGGAGACCTCATCACCTAAAGCAGAGGAGCAACGCCTCAGTCCATGTGAGCGGTCAGACCAGTTCGCCTTACGCAATCTGATGCTAGCACAACCTCCATGTCGTGCAACGAACAGTAATTTGTTGAATTACTGATTCTTCTTCAACTTGCATTTATTGAAGAAGAAGTGAATAAGATGAGTTTTTGAAAAGTAAAGCGTGTGTACAATGAAGTCCAAGAAGAGTTTAGTGG